GAATTTGTCGTTGTTCGTAGTATACAATTAAAAAAAACATATTTTTTATTTACATTTTTACAAATGACGATGATGTATATATATATGTATGTAATGTATGTATGATAATGCCTCTACTTGAACTATGCATAATTTATTGCAGAATTGTACACAACGTAATTGGTTTGTTTTTCTTTTCCTCTTAATTTTTCTTTAATTATTGTTTTTGTTTTCGTGTTGTTTTTTTTTTGTTCAGTATAATATTTTTGTTCATTATTATTTCGTTATTTTGTACGATTACGAAGACGGCATTACCCGTACAAACGATTTGACAAATATTTAACACATCTCCCGACAAAGAATTTCTTTTCCGTCGAATTTTAAAAACGATAAAATTGAAATTAATTTGTCTTTCATTTATTACAATTATCTTTTCACGGAGCAGTCCATTATTATTATTATTATCCTTATCATTATTCACACACACATTATAATTATAATTATTATTATTATTATCATCATCATTTATTCCTGCAAGATGATCATCGTCATTTTCTTTTTTATTCCTCTTATTGTCTCACACAGGAAAAGTTGCATCTTTTTTTCTTTTTTCTTTTTTTCCCTTTTTCTCTCCCTCTATATCTCTTTTTAATTAACATTATTTTATTTTACTTTCTTCCGTTTACTTTACATATTTCTATACTTATCAACGATTAGAATCTTTTCTTCTTTACTTTTTTTTCATTTTATCTTTTTTCATTATTCTAAAGAGAAACGAAAGAATGAACAAAATCTGTATATTTTTCATAAAATCGTCATATTGCCCGAGATACGCATTCAAATTGAATTTAAATAATGTCGAATTATCGAGAGTAAGAGGAGTTATTATTGTCCTTTATAATAATATCTTAAAGTACTTAAACACGCTTCTTCTTCTTTTTTTTCTTTTTTATTTTCTTTTTTTTTTTAATATTTCTTCAACACGTAGATAATATTAGGCTCTAATTTCAACAATTAATTTTTTAGCACAATCCACTTTCAATTTAATTTTGTTTGTTTTTCTTTGTCAACTTCTTTCTTTCATACAGCATATTTGTGTGTGTGTGTGTGTGTGTTCATGTGTATTTAATTATGCTTACACATATTCTCCCTCTTTCTCTTTAGTGTAAACGGTTTCAAACATATAATAATTGTTTTACTTTCTTGTTTATTCATTATTATTTTTCTTTTTCTCGTTAATTGTTTTTTATAATATATTAAATATCTCTAAAAGTGGTCTTCGAGTTGAAGGAATATAAGCATTATAAATTTGCAAAGAATTATATAGTTTAACTTAGAATTTAGAGGACACCCCGCTGGCACTTAGAAACTTGGACTCTGTCTGTTTTAAATTAGAGATGACGATTACTTTCTTTTTCAATTTTTTACATCTCCTCATAATATCTACATATATATCTTCCACCTCTTCCTCCTCCCCTTTCTCTCTCTCTCTTTCTTTCTAAGGTGATTATGTATTTCGCTGATTTCTTGGTTACACATTGTTTTTCTGTGTGGTGTTGTAATATTGTCCCCCCTTCCTCCCAGTCCCTTTTTTTTAATGTACATACGCTTAGCGCATGACAATTTTTTAGTGAAAAAGAGACTATAGCTGTTGTGTGTGCTCTTTGTTTGTGTTGTTGTAGTTGGTTGTTATTTATGTATTTGAAAAAGAAGATTTTTATTCTTTCGGAGTCGACGATTTAATCGTGCGAGCTTGCAAAAAAGTTCTCACTTTTTAATACATTTAAAATACATACTCGTTGTGCGCATTTTTGTATTTTTAATTTAATTTATTTTATGTTATTTTTAATTTAATTTAATTTAATTTAATTTAATTTATAATATAATATAATATAATATAATATAATATAATTTAATTTAATTTAATTTAATT